GAAGATCAGGAAAATCTCAAGCGCCAAATATGCTGAGAATACAAACTTAACAAACCTGTAAGCTGTAAAGGCTGTAATATCTCGAATTTATTCCCTCACCTTCAATATCATCACCCCAATGAATTTGTGAAAGTCAATGAGGCTAAGACCAAGACCTCTAGAAGTCATCAAGGAAGCAAGTAACTATATCTAAACTTAGCAAATACCCATGTAATAGTGAAAGGTGGCAAGCTGTTACCTACTACTTAGCTAAGGACATGTTTCCTGTTTTTTTAGTTGTGAAAGATGGCATTAGACACATGACAGAAATTCTTGACTCCAGGTATGACTTACCAGGGCGTAAATACTTTACACAGACAGCGATTCCTCAGTTAAACTTGCATGTTCATCAACAAATGCTAATTCTATTTGCTCAGTTTCTAGACTTTCTAACGGTAATTCATTCATATTTTGGCAGGCATCTACCTTAGGAAAAAAATAGGCAAATTGGAGGATTTGTTCCTTCCTGTTCCAATTCTTTATATTTTTCTTGTAATGAAGGCTTAAATACACGACTCTTGAGCGTATCAATAGTTTCTTCAATCAGACAGCCATGTCTAACAGAATCAAGCATCTTAAAGTTTCGTCTCCTTTTTGTCACTTATTGATTGTTAGTTCATCATATCCTGTTTTTTTCTATATGTTTACTGCATTTGCTGCTCCAAGTCAAGTTATTACTAGTTTTTTGCTAATTTTTAAAAAAAATGGTCCACCATTAACTGGTGGCAATTGTAAGAGGTCACCTACAAATAAAATGTTTTTGGATCCAAACCATTTATCAGTAGCAATTATATCTTCTAAGCGCATGTGTAAGTATGCTAGATTTAGATTCGATACCATAGATACTTTGTCTACTATTATAATTTTTAAATTTTTAAGTGTCATTTTTGTCCTTTTTTGATCTTTATTCAAAGCTCAATATCCATCTGTCTTTCCCTCATGCTCTATTGGTAGCTAAAATAAACTATGTATTGTTAGTTCACCTACATTAAACGCGGCTATACCTATTGGTGCTACTATAGCACACATAATTTTGCCACGTTTTCGATGCCATATGTCATCAACTAGGCATTTTATTGCCCCTATTACAAGCAATTTACCAGTTCCACCTACACCACTAATAAACATCCTTAGCAGTTTGATATTATCTAATCTAAGTAGTCTTGAAGACTCATTCTCTAATAAATCTTCACATTTTTTGACTTTGAAGATTAGTCTTAATTTTATCAAAAATTCTTTTTTAGTCTACATTAAGCATTGCCTCTTTTTGCTCTAATATTAAATTAGGTACATTTATATGCATGTCAGCAATATCAGCTACTGCTTCCATTATTTTACTTAGTGATTGAGGCTCATCATCTTCCTTGTTATCAGGAAGTTCTTCAGTGAATCCGGCTTTATTTCTTCTATCAACTATTTTTTTCCAATTACGTTCAGCTTTTAATAATTTCTGTAGTTTGTTGAAATGATTCACAATGCCACATATAGATGCTTCTCTATGACGCCTAAAAGCTTTTCTATTGTTTCTCCTTCCATTATGAGTGCGCTCTAATCTCTAAAAGGCACAAATAAAATCTTAGTGAGTAATAAAAATTGTCTCTTTCCGCTTCTTGCATAGGATTAAATTTTCTATAGTTTGGAAGGACTGGTTTTGATCGAAGTTTGTATTCTCTTCTCCATTTTCTCCAATTTTATTAAATTTGTAATAAGCCACAATTTCGTAAAGAGATACATCTTCCATGTTATTTAGTCTTGATGGATAAGTCTTCAATTACACTGGGATGAAAAGTGTATTTCGAAGATTGATCCATTTTAGTTAATATGAATAGTTTTTTATTATTCTGCTCCTCTTATGAGGCAAGTACACATTAATGTACTGTACAGATACTGATTTCATGTTTAACCTTTCACCGAGAAGATCGCTAGTTTCATACAGCCGTACTTTTGTAGCTTAAAGTAATTTTTGTCATATTTTCCGAAGCCTGCTGTATATGTTGTATATATGACAAATCAGTCTATCTTATTTGAAAGAACAGACTTCTTCTGGACAATCGATACTGACAACAGGAGCATTTTCAATCCATAGGAGGATGTGATAATGAGGTGCTCCATGCATTTGATATTCTTTTTAAACATAATATTGCTCTACTTTGCCTAGAACACCTCTTGGAAGAATGACTATGTTAAAGATATCCTTAAATTTACATAAAAATTTTCACGATATTAAAACAGGGTCCTCAGTACATAATCTAGAAACACTGATGATAACGCTGAAGCTGTTTCCTGTCTTGTACCAACTTCACACTGAAATACATGTACATGCATACAGGACTTTACAATAATTGCAGTGTGGATGTGCTACACATGTACATTAACTTAACTACAAAATGCCAATGCACATGCAGCCAAAGCGATGATGAAGACTGAAAGCCACTCTGAATATCATGATTGGTGAATGTGGCGAGTACTTGATCATCATTTGGGTAAGGTTCTACATTGGTGTAGCCAGAGGAATCTTTGATTTCAACTCGAGAGGACGTCCTTGTTAAATTTAGCACCTCACGATGATGCCCGTAGATATGAGTATTGAAAGCTGCAAATGAACTCAGCACCTTTTCACAGTTGTTTATGCCACAGATGAGACTAAAATAAGCATTTTTACAATGCACACTATATGATTGTGCAGCATTATTTACTTTTCTTAAATATTGTGCTATATCAGCTGAATCGTATTCTGCACAACTTAATGTTAGGAAAAGTGTTGGTGAGCCATACTCAGCAATCATTGCTTTGACTTCTCCTTTCACACGGAACTAATATTGATTTGTGCCCCATATAGGAGCCAAGATGGTACTTAAATTGCCCTCAAATTCTTTATCTAACAAATTTATTTTTTTCTAATATTTCAGCAACATTTTGGCCAACTTTGTTCCTTGATGTGTTTAATAAATTATATATGCCAGTATTTAAGGCCTTTTTCATTTTTAATGCATAATAGTGCAGACAATATGAATGGTTTCTACGAAATCGGGAATCTTTGTTTAAAAGTCTTGATTTTATGTATTTGCTAAAATTAATGATAAAGTCTGTGCTGGATAGCTTTGTCTGCTATGATGCTCTTCATTTTGCCCAGTTGGAAATGAAGTAGGAAAGTATAACAAGTCAAGACGCTCTTGCCTATTGTCAACAGGTGCTTTTTTACATTCATTAATTTATATTTACTGATATCAGAACCTGTTGCAATTTTACTATCAAGATTTGTAATCATAATGCCGAAAGGCCTTCTAACTCTTGATTGTTTGCTTTTTCAAGCATTTTACAAGTAGTATTGCTAACAACTTGTAAAACACTTTTGGATGATTCGTCAATTGAATCATCTTCTACATTTCTATGAAGCTAATTTATTTCTTTAAATTTTCTTACTGCTGCTTTTAACTTAATTACCTCAACTAAACTACGCCAGACATTATTTGATTTAGTAGGCTGTCCATTAATGATAATATAAAGTTCTAGATTAGGCTGATGATTAGAATCTATACCAACCTCATTTAAAGTTTCCATTGTTCTTTCTAATGAAAGAGGTGAATGAAAATGAAACACTGCACCTTTAAGTGCCTCCAAAGATATATAGGCAGGCACTTTTAAGGTAAGTACCTAGTTTAACAATTGTCTGAAAACTTTTTGCCTTCTGTATTAACTGGCAACTTAAAAGGATCCAAACTATTCAATACTTTAGGTAGTGGCTCACACTTTAACCCATTGAACACACAATGTGCTGGAACTTCATTTTCCATAATAATAGATTTTCAATAACAACAAATATACATAACTTTATTTGATGCTATAGGATTAGTCTTTCCAATGTAACCTAAAAGAATATTCCAAACATCACTATCTAAATTTTTAGCTTCAGTGACAGATATTTTCTTAAAAACCTGCAAGTAGAATTAACAGCTTAATCAGACAAAGCTTTTTTAAATTCATCAATAGCATCTGAATGCTGAAAATAAAGTACTGTATCTAATTTTTGTATTCTAAATGGGTCTTCTTCTTTGTCACCATCATTAATAGAATAATACACATTATCAAATTCAGTCTCATTGGGTTCATTAAATTTTAAATTTATCAAATGTGACCCGATATGAGAAAACCAGGCTATCTGCGGGAATTATCATTTTGAGCTATGGGCTCATAATCACGAAAAATCTTTACCTGGGCGAAATTCATTTTATCACATAAACATGTTATATAAACAAAATCCTTTCATTTGATACCGAAATCAGGGGTAGCGAAGCCTTCTTTGCCGAGTTATAAGCCCTTCGACATTTTACCTTGATTGTGCACGGAGAATGTTACACGGAGCGACCACGGAATAAAAACGGAGGGCTTTAATGCGTCATTAGGTAACCATGGAGTCTCTATAGCAACTATTTAAAGTATAACAAAGACGAAGAAGACTACTTATAAAAACTATGGCTACAGAAAGAGACATTGCTCGCTTGTTAAATGAAGAAATAGGTCCTCGAGACAGTGACTACGTTGCTTCAGTTCTTGGGGACTACTTTTGTGATGAAACTAGTGGTAAGCTTATTCATAACACTGTTTACATACTAACTGTGAATAGCGGTTAGCTATCACAACAATGACATTCCATCACCTGTATAAATGCACAATATTATTATAATAAACTTAGTTATACAGTGTATTTGTTAATTGATAGAGACAGACTATGAAGCAGTAGAAGATATGGAAGAAGAAGAGGTAGAGGAAGAGAAAGAAGAAGAGAAAGAGACAAAAGATTGTGATGAAGATATTAATCCACCACTGTTTGATCCTGAGGTGGCTGTGGAGCTACA